GCCCAACTTTTACAGAAGGAGCGGAGGAGGAGGGGAGAAATGGGGTAAAGATGGAATGTGAAAAAAAAGGACAGAGGAGAAGCAAGGAGCAGAGGGAAAATGTAGGGGAGGAAAGACGGATGTGAGGCTGTGGCAGCGGCTGTAGCCAATGATTTAACAACATGGGATCAGTAATTCTGTCATGCTAGAAAACGCCAGACAGCAAAGCAGGCTGGGAAACTGCTCAGTGAGGCTATGTGATTGATGCCCACCTCCATCCCCCCGTGCTTTCCACATCTTTTCCCTCAGTTCAAGGAGAAGACTTGTCTCTTGAAGCACCTTGCAACGATATAAGAAGGAGGTGTATTAGTAGATGGCCGGTCGGGTGATACAGTACTGTGCATTGCATTGTGGGAGGAAAGGGGCTGGGAGAAACCCTTGAAACGTGCAGAGATTTACTATCTTTGCCGTAGCTACAGAGAAGCTAAAATAGCACAGTTGGCAGCTTGGTTGCAGTGGTGCATGCAAAGCTACAGAAGGACAGAAAGGACGAGAGCAGGCTGACACGGCTCAGAGAAACGCCGTGTGGTTTCAGCAGTCGGAGAAATTAGAGAGCCAAGAAAGGTCCAGACACAGGGGAGTATCATCTGGCATCTGAAGACGAGGAGGGAAGAGGAAAAGAGGAGGGTAATGTTTCACCTTTATTTGTAGATGTGGAGGGTGTCGCCTCCTCATCTGACGTGTTTGTGCTTGCACTAGATTTCTGTGTTTACATATGTATCACTGTGTACATGCATGGAAAGTCTGTGTGTGTTAGGAGACGTGGGTTTGACTCAATCGCTCAGGGTAGAAGACAATTTGCGCTTGATTTATCTCTTGCTGCCTCCATTTGCTGCTTGATTGGAACTATTTTTTTTCTCTGCACTGAAAGAGACGGAACACAGATAATTTACCACCCAAATGCGATAGCTACCATGCTTTATCTCCATCAAGTTGAAATCATTTAAAAAAAGGACTTATTAGACAATTGAGGTCAACGGATCATAGAGTCTGAGTCAGCAAGAATTATCAACAGACATCAGCTCTGAGAGGGAAACTCAATGATCCAAAGGGATGACAGATTGTTCTATATCTGTACTGCCACACACACGTACGCACACACATCCTGTTGACAATACTGAAGAAACTCAGTTTAATACCATTTCTGATCAGCTGGTACCACCGTTGAATCAATAAAACTAGCAACACTGAACCTGTTTGTCTCTGTCTGCAGGTCCAGGAGTGGTTGTGTCTGAACTGTCAAATGCAGAGAGCTCTTGGCATTGATATGACCACACCTCGCTCTAAGAGCCAACAGCAGATTCACTCTCCGTCCCACCAGGCCAAACCCATCGTCCAGCCGCAGCGGACCGTGCCTCAGCCAACACCGCCGGCAGCAGCGGCAGCGGCACCACAGCCAACACCTCTAGCAAAGAGTCAGTCCACGCAGCGTCAGCAGCAACAGCAGCCTCAGTCTCAGCCCTACTCCCAGACGCAGCAGTATCCTCAGTCTCAGACCTACCACACTCCTCAGCCTGGGACCCAGACTCAGCCTCAAGCGTCCCCGGGGTTACAGAGACATCCAGGCCCTAGTGGCCCGCAGACCCAAACACAGACAGGGCCAACTCAGCATGGCGTAAGGTCTGATCCATACTCTCAGAGAGGTCCTAGTGTCACAGGATCCATCGGCGCTCCAACTGGAGGTCTCAATCAGCCTGGAGGTCCACGAATTCCCCATCCTGGCGCTGTGCCTCTGCCTGGTTTAACAAAGACGCCCTCGCAGCCTGATTTAGGGCGTGGGTCTCCAATGCACCACTCGATGGCCCGGCAACACGACCAGACAAGAAGCGCTGGATCTTCACCTGCACACAGACCTCAGAGTCAGGCACCACCTCCAGCCCAAGATGGCCTGACCAAACTCTTTGGCTTTGGAGCATCCCTGCTCAATCAGGCTAGTACGCTTATCAGTGTTGATCCTCTGCCTGCAGCCTCCACCCAACCAAGCCCCTCACGAGGGAAAGTGGTCTTCAGCAACGCAACCCCTGACAACAGACAACAGCAAAAACAAGGACCTGCTGGAAGTAAACCATATGACATGGGGGGCCCTCATGCTCCCACTCAAGTGGGGGGCCCTCATGCCCAAAGTCAGATGGGGGGCCCTCATGCCCCAAGTCAGATGGGGGGCCCTCACACCCCTAGTCAGATGGGGGGCCCTCATGCTCCCACTCAAATGGGGGGCCCTCATGCCCCAAGTCAGATGGGGGGCCCTCATGCCCCAAGTCAGATGGGGGGCCCTCATGCCCCAGGTCAGATGGGTGGCCACCATGCACCTACCCACATGAACGGCTCTCATGCACCAGGGCAAATCGGTAGTAACCAAATGGGTGGACCACACGTCCAGACCCAGAAGCAACAACAACAGATGACGCCCCATCAACAAGGTGTGCAGCAACAGCAGTCACCGGCTCTCCATCAAAAAGGACAGCAAGGACAACAACAACAACAACTGCAAACGCAGGGGCAGAAAACACCTGCCCAGGGGCAGAAAGCACTGCAGAAGCAGGAGTCCGTGTCGGCTCTTGTGTCCACTCCGGCGAAGCCCAAAGTGAACTGCCCTCTTTGCAAAACGGAGCTTAACATCGGCAGCACAGACCAACCCAACTACAACACCTGTACACAGTGTCAAAGCCAAGTGTGTAACCTGTGTGGCTTCAACCCAACACCCCATCTGGTGGAGGTAAGACGTTTATGAACCTTTGTACATGATAAACCAACACACATTAGGTAAGAAATACATCATACTGTCATACTGCACAGACAGACAGAGAGAGAGGGAGAGAGAGAGAGACATTCATCCTGCATTCATTCTAAATGTTAATGTTTGAAAATGTGAGACTCGCCAGTAAGTAAGTAAAGTTTAGTTTTTTTTTGTTTTTTTAAGGACAACACATGCAGAAAGTGGCTTAACTATTAATATTTGAAAATGTTTTCCTTTTTCCTTATATTCTGGGCGTGTATAGATAGATTCAGATATAATAAATATGAAAAGAGGAGGTTGAATCTCCTGGAATAGAGACGTTAAGAGTCACAGTTTATCTTCCTGCCCCCTGCAGGTCTGTGTGAATCACTTCCTCTTTTCTAGTCACTGTATATCTTCTCACTTCTCACTTTCTTTATAAATGCATGGGAGATGGCAACAAAGCCACCCTGCATCTGATGATGGTTGATGGCGCACCATGATACACACACACACACACACGCATCCATCCTTCCTATGAAACGCCACTGTCTGAAGAAGAGACTTTTCGGTGTCTAGTCATCGTTTAGTACGTTTGCTTCATCCAGACCATCTGTATATGTGTGTGTTTATATCATTCTAATGAGACAGATTTTATCATTATTATTAGTAATAAAAAAACAGAATGAGGCTGCTGTACAAATCTAGAATGTAAGTGGAATAAAAAGTCAAAATTGACATTATCATCAAATAAATACTACTGTCTCATCAGTCACAATTAAACAGCTCTAACAGCTGTAGCTGTGCTAACCACTTTATTGTCATTTCTCCTAATTGAGCCTCAGGACTGTTCCACACTGGCCAAATGGTTAGCACTGATAAGTAGATTTGTTCCTCTGTATGACTTTATTATGATGGTGTGTGTCTAATGATGGGGGGGCAGTGAGCACTATGGGTGTCATCAGGGCTAATGGCGATGTGTTTTGTGTATTTTATGTAACAGTTTCATTATTACAAAATTCCCTTTGTTCCTTTGTTCTCATTTCCATCTCTAATTCCTGCCTCTTATCTGGACTTGTTATTCATATGTCTGGTTGTGTAACTGCACCAGAGGGTACAAATCAGAGAATAACACTCTGATGTGCAGGGAGACGCCCACACATGCAAAAGGTAATGAAGGGAGGAAACAACACACACACACACACACACACACACAGTGCATAATTATTTCATAAGGTGTGTGACTTTTAGTTCACTGTAGACAAACTCAAGCTTCTTTGTAGTCTGACTAAGATTCAGAAGAAAACACACACACACACACCTATGTAGATAAGACTGGAGACAGCTGTACACACATGCAGAAACAACCTGCAACAGACACTAACACCAACACACACGCAAACTGGATTACATACATTATCTTGGCACAGTCACAGTTCTACGCTCACAAGAAGACATTGGTACGTTAACGTTAACGGTTCGAATTATATACAATTGTCTTCATAGTGACACAGGAACATGCCACACACACACACACACACACACACACCCAACAACAAGATAACCCAACAACCCTGTGAACCTTTAGTGTATTTGACAATTAGACACAAAATGTAAAGAAAAGGAAATACTTGGAAGATAACAGGATAAGGGAAACAGAGGATAAAAAAAGTCAGGAGCTGGAAGAAGAGAACGAGGATGGACTGAGTCATGCTTCTGTATTTAGAACGATGACAAATAAAAAAACGCAGAATGGAGAACAGCAGGAGGAAAAACAGACCTAATGGACGGACAGCTGGCACTGCATCTGTGGATATGATGCTCCAGTTCAGAAAACCTCACCATCCTCATCCTCTTATCTCCTCACGATGCCCTCTGTCCTTCCCTTACCTCGCCCACCTTCACTCTTTTTCTATAGTCAATTACTGGGTTTAGATTGGATTTTATATATATATATATATATATATATATATATACACATATATACAAACTATACAAAATATATACAAAAATAATGAGGTAATGAACAATTGTCTAGAATACGTCAAAATCAAGGCCTGTGGCCCTAAACCAGCCCGCAACGTTATTACGTGGTCCACATAAAACTGAAGTCTATAGTATGACTGTCATACTATAGACTGGACTATAGACTGGACTACAGACTGGACTATAGACTGCACTATAGCAGACTGGACTATGGACTACAGACTGGACTACAGACTGGACTATAGACTGGACTTATTGAAAACACTGTAATTCCTACAAAACTGCAGTTCTCATTAAATAAGTTTTGAAAAATACACCCCAGTTTAGTTTTCCCTCTGTGGCACAAAAAAAGCACAATATGGAGATTGAAATTTTTGGTGTGACTGCACCTCCCCACCCCCGCTCCTCTCTCGGAACAACTGGCTTAAATTAAGTCTGTACTTCCATTTGATTAGACCAAGAACTTTATTCTTAATTATTTTTGCCAGTTCTAAAACTTTAACAAACAGGGATTTCTTTTATTTATAGCTCAGTGTTAAAGTGAAAACTTCCACTTTTTCTTTCCCACCAAAATCCTATATAATTTGATTATCAGCCGTTATTAATCCATGTCTATAGTAAACACACACTATTATTGTCAGCATTTTTGGTCGAAGAAAAAAGATGGCTGGATTCTAAATGGAGTCTGAATGTTCATTACAAATGAAAAGAGTTCTGGTTGAAGACACACAAATTAACTATTGACCAACTTCAGTAAAGTGAAGGAAAAAACGATCCTGAAATGTGAAAGAATTCCCCCGTCTCTCCACTGTTATGTCCCTGTGGCTGATCACAGCGGGTCATCTGTGGTCACTTCATTTATGCACCGTCATGAATCTCTTCTCCACTTCAAACACACACTCACCGCTCTTTATTTATGATGCAGCTGAGTGACGTTTTTCACTTGGACTAACCTTGCATTGGTTTTCTCTACGTCAACTTGTCCTCCTTCAATCACTGCACCTCCAACTCTGTCATCAGTCTTTCCCTCCATTCTCTCTCTCTTTAGACTCTTTCAGTCCTTCAGTCTGTCCTTCAGATCCTATCTCTTTATGTCCTGCTAACCTTCATCTCCTCATCTGTCCTTTTCTTTTTCACTCATCATCTTTTTGCTTCTTCAACATAAACCTCTCTTAGACCAGAGGTGAAGTTTTTACAACAAACGCTTTTTTTTCCTACTGACTCAAAGTACTACAGTACAGGCTATAAATAAACTGTTTTAATGTCATGTCAGCTGAACATTTACCAGGAGAAGACGTCAAATACTAATGTTGGCTGGTATGACTTTCGATGAATTTCGTAGCTTGTGGTCTTGGTCCACACATGCCAAAATAGAGTAATGTGAGTGAGGGTTTGACGTCACATCATTATGTCCAAACACAGAGACACCAGTGGCTCTCTGCAGTAACTACAGGTCTGCCTGGTGCATATGTTCTACTGTGTTGCAGCAGTGCCTCAAGTCCATGTCCTACTTTCACAGCCATGCTACCTTTAACTGGGTCACAGAGACGTGCTGCTCAAACATTAACAGGGACACACACTCTACCAAGAAGAACCAGCAGGTCTGATGAAATGGTTATTAAAAATGAAAAAGGATTATTCCAAAAATACTTGGAATGGGAAACTGTAGCTGATTTTTTAAGTTCCCTGAAATTTAAATATGAAAACAGAAATGGGAATTTTAAAGAAAACAAACAAAACAAATTAGGATTACATTGATTTAAACTAGGCAGATCCACTGAGTGAAAAACTGTTTTTTTAAATAACTGTTGAAAACAAAAGTGATTTTATACCAGCATTAAAAAAAACTAAAATAGTGTAGGTGTGGTGTAGTAGGTCATGCCCTCAGGTTGTAAGGATAAAGAAATGCACTTTTGTTGTGAGGGATGTGTTGACTTTGTAACAGATTGCAAACCTTTACATCTGAGGAGAGAAAGTGCTGTTAACAATTACACCAACAGCATCACATTCAGTTAGTCTTCAATGTTTTAAATGGAGTCTGGAGGGCCTTGTGTGATTACCAATAACTGTATCTAAGTAAAAGGCCTGAGTGAAGACTTTACAGCACAGCAAAACCTGGTTAATATATTTTATTGACATGTCCTCTGTGGGAAAACATCAACAAAGGTAAAAAAGAAAACAGGTTGTTTAAAATATAATTTGTTTTCCTTGCTACTGGTTTTTCAGTCATACTGAGTTAAGAGCCAGAGATTGTTTAAAAATAAACTCCTGATTTTTTGCTATCTGTGAGAGCTACAAAAAGTACTTCTATTGAAAGCAGTTTTATGTTATTTCCAGTTTTTTGACATCAATGTTTTTCCAATGCGATTTTAACCACATGCCAGCTTTCCAAGCAGAAATCTTAGCTGCTTTTTCATCTTGCTTTGCCTCTCCAAACAGAATTTGGATTTTTTTACATCAAACCCAAACACACTGATCTGCTCTCCTTTCATGTGTTATCGCCTCTTTGCAAACCATTTTTTAAACGATTCTAAAAAATGAATTTGGAGATCACACAGACACGACTAGTCTGCGGAGAGGGGAACAAAAAAAGAGATTAGGGTATTAATTAACTGCATTTGACATGAACATGTGTCTGTATTTGTAATCAGGCAGTGAAAGGCAATACTTAACATCTCACTAAAACAAACAAACACATGCACACACATCCACAGAGTACTCCTAATCATTATTGTGCGCAGAGCGTTGTCTATTACCTGTTAATAGTTACAGGATGACAGTTGATTTGCAGTTTTGCAGGAATTTTGGGAAGACGTTCTGCCAATCAGGTCACAGACGTCAAGTCTTAAAACAGATTTTAGAGAGAAATCCCCAGAACTGCATGTAGACACGGTAAATCAAAATATGTGAACTATGTGTAGGCATATTTATATGTGCACAAATAAATATGAAATATCACACACTTTCCAAACAAATAGTGGGTGCAGAAGAATGGATGACACAGTAAGTGTTGT